GACTTAAAATGCAATAATGATTGTAAATGATCGCTGAAGAAAATGTTCTATATTTTCTAATTTCAGTGCCGGAACCAACAATTACAGTAATAACGACATTATCAACGACTAAAGAAACATCAAGTGAGCTTTTTTAAAATTTGTTCTAGAATGAAACAGCTGATAGGACATACTGTTATTAATACATCCCTACGTACAATATTGGTACATTTAAATCTTGACACAATTAATAAATCTCCAACTAGTTCTGTAAGGAACAGTAGTGACTCCTCGCGACACGGAAGCTGTTAAACAGCCTCGTTGAAGAAAATGTTTTTGAAAGGTTCACAAAGATTTTAGTCAAACCTCGTTTTTTTTACAGGAAAAGCTGGATTGCTAGCAAGAAAATTTATAAAATATTTTTTTTTCGCTTCTCATTTGCATCACTGTTGTACAATGACATTCCATTTGTTGTCTCTAAAAAGAACATAGAAAATCTTGGAAATTCAAGTGTAAAGATTTTTTAGAACTCGAGCTGAGTACATTATAATACGAAACACATGCACACAATACCACAGTGCGGGTTTGAAGTTTTCGATGTTTGACAACCAAACTGATGTTAGCTATTTGATTACATTTGTGCACTTTAGTACATTCTAGCAACAACATCAATGTCGAGCTTTCTTCCGCCTTAATGTTCGAATTACACATCAATAACGGATGGCACTCGTCGCATAACTAATACAAATCTTGGGGCTGAGAGTGATAAATCATATTTTAGCAATATGCCTACGTAGGTACGGTTTGAGGGTGCTGCAGGCACTCGTCTTGCTAACTATTCGGTTTCTTCTCCACGTTGTGGATCAGAAGGAGCTGGTTTGGCTTAAGCATCCTACTGACCCAACAGTGGAAAAGACGGCGAACCAGACGGTTCGTTTTAATTGGAGTGGCATGAGTTGCATTTGACCTATGAAGATTTCTGAGACCAATTGTCATAGTTTTTTTGTTTATGCACTTGTATCTCCGGCCCTTTCTGATGCTCGTTATTGCACTATATAAACTCTTGTTGTTGAAATAAACAGGCAGCTATTGAAACCATAAAAGACTGTGAAAACCATTCGATCATTTTTACACCATTTATTTAATACGTTTTTAATCTTGACCGATCATGCCAATTTCCATGAAGCGACACATTTGACTTTCGAAATTTAGATTCAAATAATAAGCTACGATGGCTTTATGTTTAACTGCGGAATGGGTTCTGTTTGAAAGTCATACAGTAGAACAATTAAATGAGGATCACTAATGGCATCAGTTGCTGTAAAAAGGACTCTAATTCATATGGTAAAAGAAGTTACTAGTGAAATCATCAAAACTCGTTCCAAAAAATGTCCAATGTGATTATTTATCTCCTAGGCTATTTGAAATCATCGAAAAACTAGAAATAGACTATGCAGTTTGATTCTTTCATTTCTACGTAATAAACTATATACTGCCAATAAGTTCACTTGTATGTCATAATTATTTTTCTCATCACAGAATGCTAAATTTTCAGTTATAATAATGTCTTATCAGTAGTGAACAGCCGATAATTTGTTCAAAATTTATCAAAATTGTCAAAATACATGTACAGAAAAGTGGAGACATATCTGTTCCAATTATCGATTAAAATATGTGCTCATCGATGAAGTTTTACCTACTGCTGAAAATAAACTTGTCTGAATACGGTTCGTGTTGAGTTTGGTAATTTTTTTGTCTCATTCTTTTTGCCCTTGCCGTTGAAAGAAACAAGCCGATATCACGTAGTATTTGTTCTCCATTGTGAACGCATGGAACTCTTGAATTAGCCCCGCTTTGGATTGGTAAGTTTTATATTTGACTCTCGAATCACAATTTAAAATTTCTATAGCACGAGGGTAGATGAGGGTGTCATATCTTCATATTCTCATCCTCACTCTCAGCGCAAATTATTTGAAAAAAGTGTTTACTTCAAGCAATAATATACAAGCGATAGAAAGAGCAGTGGTAGTGTGGGTGTGGGGCTAGACGTCTATCAATCAAACACACCCATCCACACCCACTCACACCCACACCCAATACGCAAAAAAAGAATAAAACGAGCAAGGTCAATATCGATGTTTATTGACCGTGAGAAAATAGAAACGAACGAACAATTTCAATTGAGCAAGAAGAACTAAAGAACAGATACATATAAGAGAAAGAAAATGAACATGCACTTATATAGTTCATAAGGAAGAATATTTCCTTAACAATCTAGAGAACCTTTTTTCCACTGACTGATGATATACCAGCGCTTTTCGACACTTAGAGGGTACATTGCGAGTATTATCAATCACTCTTGGCTGAACAACGGAGCGAATTAGGATAAAAATAAAAATACGCAATCGATAATAAAGAATGCCCTATAGTTAAATACTGTTCAAGCATGTATTGAAAAGACTTAGGCAATTTATTCACGTGTTGCTTCTCAATATTGAACGTTTATATGCATTTTGTACAGCTGGAATTCCGCTATCTAAAAATATCCAAGAGAGATTTTTTGATAGTAATTTTGATTTTTTAGATGAAAAACATGATTCTCAACCATTTTGTCGTCGGTAGATAGATAAATATCACTGCTATCAATTCTTCTATTCGTTAGAAAGAAAGATACATGAGACATAAAGTACCATCACTTTTTTGTTTTGGAACTGAGAATTTCATTTTTTTATTCTTATCTGAAATTCATAACAGTAGAACATTATAGTTAGAGCAGATCAACAGAATAGTTCATGTACGATTCTAAACTATCTCGATATTGTGCATTGATTATATTTCATTGGAATATTCCATTGAATAATCTCAATATTGTTAATAATCATCATTCGACCGTATTCCAACCTTAGAACGTGATTCCAACTCGAGTGAAAATAGATAGAAAAATGAAATCTTAAAAAGTTGGTCTCAAGAATATTGCGATTCTATTCTTGTATTCGATTGTTAATTATTAACATTTTAATGTCTGTCATCCAGTGAAATACGATATTGGAATTTTCAGATCATTTATTATTTTTAAATTTCTCGGCTAACATATCTTTGCTTTTAATAATAATCTCTCTATAAATAAGGATCTAACTATTGCCACGGTGACAACGTTAGTTTTTAGTTTTTTTCAACCTAATTCTATTTCAATATATTCAATATTCTATTCTAGTTAAGATGTGTATCACCAAAACTAATCTCTAGAAATTCAAGTAAGAAAAACTCAACTGAAGCATGAACTAAATTAGAAATGACCCATTCTGTCTAAACCTTTTTGGATATAAACTACGAAACATGTTTTACTATACTTACAGCAAAAAAAAGAATAAAGCCATAATATTTACAGTAATTTTAAGTTTGATTTTTCTCATCTCGAAGCTAAAAGTTAGTTCAAATTGTAGTTTAGATAAAACAAAGAGTGACTATCTTTGATACGATTCAAAATGGCTAAAATACGCTAGATTTCTCCCAAGCAGACAATGAAAGGCATACAATGGATCCGAAGAGTGCTCGAAAATGTGAAATATATATTTTTTGTTCGTTCTGTTTTGATTTCTACCCATCGATAGCTATTGGAAGAACCTTACTGAGTGCTCCACTAGAAACAAGCAGAGCATAGAAGAAGGTTCGAGTAATTCAGTTAATAATGAGCTATGGAATTTCTTTCGAAAGAGACTTACAAATGTCTTCTTTATTAGGCTGCCTTAGAAGAATGGTCTATATTGCACGTATGTGTCTCCTTAATTCTTGACTTTCTAGAAAATAATTGACACAAAATGATGAAAAACCACAAATAAGAACAAAATCTAAACTGATGTTAAAGAAAACAAGATCTTTACAAATATTGTTTATAAGTCTTTGAAAAAAAAATTTAAATAGTGATTTTATACTTTATACAAAAACTCAGTTATCTATCAAATGCCACATTTATCAATTAAATTTCTTGTGTGGCATTTGAAACTCATGAAAAAGTCGATTTGCTAATTAAGCAGGCGAAAAATATGTTTCTATCTATTAAACCTTTTTTAATAATATTTGAAAACTGTTAACAAATGTTACAAATCAAAGTACTACTAGAGGGGATGAATTCACATTTAAAGAAATTTATCAAATTCAAAAAACGAATCTGAACAATTTTAATCCAACTTAAGTTCATTAACAATGAATATTTAAATTAAAAAAATATTTCATAAATTTTAATTTAAAATAAATTTTCAAAAACATCACATCCCTAAGTTGTATCAATTTAAGAATTGAAAATATAGCTTTCATCGAAGAAAAATAATTCATATCTAGTTTAAATGTTCGACGACTGCTTGTTGTACGTACTCATGTTCTAATTCTTCTCCTTCGCATTTATTCGATAGCCTTCGACGACTCGAGACTTAGAAATCTATCAAAAAATTCTTTTTATTTTGATCTCCTCGGTTGAAATTGTTCGACTAGTCGAAAACACCATGTTAAGTTGATCCATCGCCGAGTCCTCGACTCATCGAAAAGTGAGAATCCGAGCACTCTGTTTTAAATTTGGATACCCACGACAACCTCAAATCGACGCGACGCAATGCCTATCAGATAGCCACTTAGGTTGCTTGCTGGTGCGCCGTCCATGGGATATATGGATGTTGAGTTATGTATTGTTACTCTAGTTTACCAAAAAAACATGAACAACTTGGGGAAGCAACTGCTTCCACTTGTAGTGCTGATGCGCCGCCCGTGCTCATACCCACACCCACTCCCTTCAATCGAACTGTCCCACAATCCATTTTCTTGTTGAAAAATGTCATCCGTTCTTTTTACTATTCAAATGTATTGCTTTTATGCAGCACTTTAAACTATCATCGTATGAATGTTGAAATGAGTTGAATGTGACAAGCATGATTGTGAAATGAGTAATGAATATTCGATGCAAATGATCGGCTTCAATAGGTGTCATTTATTGCGTTCTCGAACTATGCATTTTTTTATGCAACATAAGACTAGTTACAATAGATAGTTTTATACCAGATAGAGCTCTCGGCCAGTGAACGTGTAACACCGGCTCGATAGCCACCGAGATCTTGGTCGAGAAGCCAACTCAGTCGAAGAGAACTGCTCAAATCCTCATTATCTCCTTGAGTTTGTCGAATGGTAAACGTTGGAGCAAAACCAAATGATTTCCCCGACGTACGATACCAGAAAACATCGCCAAACTTTTGTGGTTGATTCCATGTCGTATTCGTTGTCAATACACTAGCTGGACCAACAGCTGCCAGTAAGATTGATCCGTTGATGGAAGCAGCAACAATTACTTCATTTCGGCATACACCAGCAACTTGAACAAGATCAATGCTACGAGTCCGATGACTATATGGTTGGTTGAAAACAAGGGTCCATCCGTTCAATGGAACAATAAGATTTTCATATATGATCCAATCGAGTTCTACTTTAGCAGGTAGTTGCTCGTTTGAGCAGCAATTCAAGGTTGAAAGACGCGTCTCGAGTGCTGCCAATTGGGTGGTGAAATCACGTGACAGAGCGCTAATAATAGTATTAATAATTTCATTCTTCAGATCATCAAGCATAGTAGAATTCAATGTTGACGAGCAAGCATATGTTGTTGATGGTGTAGTTGTCAACAATTGTTCTGTCCAAGTATTATTATTCAAGTTCTCCAAAGTATTCTCAACTATTGCAGTGCTCGCTCCTTGAAAAGAATCTATAATAGTGAACTGATCTTCTCTTGTATTGTTGGTCGATTCACCAAAACTAGTATCAATCACTGTAAAGTTGCTCGTTTCAATCGGTGCTACAGTAGTCAATTGTGCTTCTACTTCATTAATGCTTTCATTAGTAGTATTATTGGGTGCTATTGAGTTGGCTTCCTGATATGAATCCTTAGTAGTAGTAGAAGCAGTTGGTTTCTGACCAGATCCAATTCCAATATCTATAGTCAATTCGAAGTTAACAGCTTCACATGAACAATGAAGAAAAGCAATAAAAACGAAGAAACGAAGCATTGTAGTTTGATGAAATGCGACTGTTTTCAAACGTTCGTATCCTATTGTATCAATTACAGCTATTATACTGACTCAAAGATAATGTTTGAAAATAATACCAAAAAGAAAATCCATTTTTAATTGCATTAGATCGATACGATGTTGGTGTCAAATGACTTCAGTGAGCTTCGCATTCACTAATTCTCGAATGAATACATAGATTTTGATTAAAAGAAAAGAAAAAACTATGTTTGTCCTTTTTTTTGCAATTCTGACTTTGAAGTCAATTTTTTACTTTATTATTAGTTCTTTTTCAATTCATCTTCAGCAAACATTCATTGATAGGTGTGCCTTTGTTTAGTTCAGAGTCCGTCCCGCTTCCTGAGTGAAAACTGTAAATTGATAGTATATATAGAGAATGACTCAAAAATATTTTACGATAAAAGCTATGCAGATGTTTTCAATGTGTAGATTATCAAAATCTCTAGAGTGGTACAATAGCGAAGATTAAGTACAGATCGCGATGTCTCAACAGTTTGCCGGGAACTGAAATTTGAATGACACTTTACAAAATTCAAATGATTCTGATAGATTTCTCACAATTTTATTAGGGTGTGGGTGAGGTTAAACTTGAAGACTCCAAATCACATCCACACCCTAAAAATATGTGAAAACTTAGTTGTTTTTTAATGATATTTTGATAAAGAAAAGGATGAAAGGCAAAAATAAAGCAAGACTGTGATAGTTTCTTGAAAAAATATACCATTGGATGAAACTGAATCTGTTTAATGATTTTTCTTCACTTGACATAGTTGATATTTGTACCACTTTCACTCCATCGTTCTCGAAGATCTTGTCTTTACAAAGCAACTATCTGTAGTTTGTTCAAATAAAATGCTTTTCCAATCTAATAAAAACGAACAACTTAATTCAGTATTAGCAAATTTTGTTCAATAAAAATGCAATGCTCATCTTTATACCACTAATGACTTTTCATTTTCATTATTTCAAATGAATCCAGAGAAATTTATGTCATTAATGTAGAGGGTTTGAGTGTCTTGAAAAGTTTTTACAAAGTACATCTCTTAGAGTCTACAATTGTCATTTACTGAAATATAAAAAAATTTGAAGCTGTACAATGGTGTTCGAGGATCACTTTTTGACCGACTCAGCGCGACCTCAATGTACGATGAAAAGGAAAAGAGATTTATGATCAATTTTTTTTTTCGAATATATTTAACTGGAACTGTTCATTCTACACATTGAAATTGAAAATTCCTTATTAACACCTCTCTTCAAACTCCAGTCATATACTTATTACTTTTTTTCAATCAAAAAGATATTATTTGAACAGAGGAAAACATCTAGAATCTTCTTCAAATTGTTCAGATAAGATAAATTCTTTTTCATTTAGAAATATACAAATTCAATTTATGATAAATATACCTTTCACCCACAATATTCCTCGTTTCTATCGCAACAAATATTTTAGATTTTATTAAGCAGAAGAGAATTATATGAAAAAATAATTCTTTCAGATTTATATTTATCAAAGACAAATAGATATTTCTCAAGTTAGAAAATTTTAAAGAACCTTTTTCCTTTTTCTATCTATTAGGGATACAAATATTTCATTTTTTTTTCTTCAATAAGACATACCGTCGTTCTTCAATAATCTATAATCTCATTAATGAACATGAACGATCAACTAGTGTCCTGTGGGAACGATTTTTTCACGATTTTTACCGTCCCATTTTCCACAGCAATTGTGAACGGAAATTTTCGTGGAGATTTCGGGAATGGGAACGATATTAAGAATGGATGTTCCCGAAAAATCATTTTTTCATGTTTTTCTATGGATTCAGGTATGGTTATGTAATAGCTTTTTATTTTTAATACCTAGTTTAATGTGTAATTATCAGAAAAATAAGACATATTTTTCGAGAGAAATTAGAGAAATCCGTTCACTATTTCGTATCTATAGTTTTCTTTGCCACTATCATTTTGCAAAAGACTTATGAAGATACTGAATATACATTCAATCGTAATTTTGTTTCTAATTTTATTTCATTTAATATTAAACGAAATATAAGGGTGAGAGAAGCTAATGTGTCATAGTGATACTTTTCTCCAAGCCGAAAAATGAAATAATAATAGGAATTTTAAAGGCCTTACAGGAACAAGAATCAAAAATAGTTGCTTCCGCAGGATACTACGATCAACTGACCTAATCAACATGAAATCTCATGTGTGAGAGGGTGTGGGTGGGGGTGTGGATGGGGGAAGTGGGTGTGAATGCTGTTCTCTTTTTATACCACACCCACACCTACCCACACCCGCATCCACACCCACACCCTACACCACACACCCTCCCACACCCACTCACACCCCACCCACAACAGAAAAAGACATGACTGAAATTCAAGAAAAAAACAGAAACTTCTACTTGAATTGTTTATCAAGACCACAATAGCATCATCTTACGTCATTTGTATTTGCATTTCTCATTGCACAGACAAGTCATAAATTATCTCATTGAGCACCATCTAATCGATTTCTTCGTCCAGTAGTGAGGTGACACCATTGGTTAATTGATAAGATTGTAGTGTTCATTCAATTATCATTATCGGTTGGTCACGGCACTCATTCAATTCTTAGTCGAAAGTAAAGTTTTTGTTAAACAAAAACGAACGAAGACGGATGCGTAGTATAGATACATTTTGAAAAATATTCAGTAGTAGCATTTTCGATACATATTTATTACGTCGATTCCTATAGATACAGCTAATAGTACAAATGAGAGTATGAGTGTGAATGTGAATGTGAATCAAAAGAAGATCAGCAATCCACAATCACACACTAGTGTCTTGCACAGGTACGACTTTTTGCATCCAGATCCGAACCGGATCCAGATAGCTCTACCCAGTACCCGACCGAACCTGATAAAGTGTTAGTCAACATTTGCAAAATACTTTAGGAGTCATAGTACAAATTTGAAACTGTTACTTCGGACGAAAAATGATAATGTTTAGTTTCTTGCGTAAACAGAAATCGGGCTGGGTGTGAGTATGGATGTCGGTGTGTGTGTGACAATTTTTTATACCCATACCCACAACCACCCTCAAGTTCTATCGAATGGTATGTAAGAAAAATTTGGACATCGTTTCTATTTTGCAAAAGTCAAGTATATAAATGTATTTCATATATAAAATGAGAAATATATTGTTATTGTGTAGGCAATGGAGAATCTCTATTTCACCTGGCAACAATTAAAATAGTATTATAAATGAATGAGTTTATAAGGAAAATGTAGCCTGACGAAAGATCTATCAAAAAATCGTTCATTTAATGTCAATTTTTAATGTTTTTGATCAACTAATAACTGAGGATATGATCAATGCAAGACCCCAATGACCATCAAAATCTTATAAACACATTGAATTCAGCATCAAAATGATCAGGACACTTTTCTCTACCGATTCGTATATGATTCAATGGTACTAGTAACCAAAGTCAAAAGGGGCCAAATTCCAGTCTTATCGCCTTCGTCCTTTTATTTACTTCGAAAAACAAAATGATGAATAGCAGGAAATCTTGCTAGATTAACAATTAAAGCAAAAGAGAAACATGATAGTTATTTATAATGTATAGCTATGCCATATTAGAAATAAGAATTACATCCAAAGTCGAAATCTTGATACATGAACATTGATTCGACTATTTGGAAAACGATTTTGAGCCATTAAACGATAAGGTTCAACTTTGTCATATGGAATTTTACCATAAATATTCAAATAGACAAGTTGTTTTAATTTTTTTACTAATTGACAGAGATCTTGTTCAAAAATAGCTGCATGTTGATCTAAATGAAAAATGTTTGTCTTCTCTGATGAGACAATTTCATTTACGTACTGATCGATTCAAATGTTGATAAAGATTTGTGCCATCGGTGAATCAAAATTCCATACTTTGATTGTTTAAAATCCGGTCGAACTTAAAATACAAGACAAAAAAAAACTAAAAATATGAGAGAGCAGTTTCTCAACTGAACATATTTTTCTTTTATTAAGAAAGAGTGAATAATGAGAAATAATTCTTATTCATGTTTTTTTAGATCGTTCAAAAAATCAAACAGTTGCATCAGATAAGAAGTCTTCAATAAAACAACAGTCATTTAATTTTTTTTATAGTTTTTTAACAAGACTTCAATTATTATCTAATGAATTCAAGAAGAAAATGAAAATTTTCTAAACATTAGATTTTACTTTTCACACATTGAATTTTTATTAATGCAGAAAATACTTTTTTCAATGAAAAAAACAATAGTGAGTGTAAATTTAAGAAAAGAGTTTCACGGCTTCTCTCTAGACTCTAATAATCAAGATCAAAGATTAATAATCAATGGGTACTCGCCTTGGCTTAAAAAGGTTTCTTCTATCTTAGCAACCATAATTCAAGGTCATAAAGCAGTAGAGTCCGTCAGGTCCAAAAATTTTGAGCTTGATAGACAGACACCTTGTAGGTATAATTTTTCGATTATTTTTATTCATCGACTATCACACCTTACACATTTCTCAGCAAAAATTTTAACAGTAATCGTATCACATTAAAGTCATGATTTGCTGTTAATTTTAGAGTAGTATCTGTTAAGTCAGACTCGGACCTAATCTATAGAAATTTTCTAGATTCAAACTCAGACGCGACCGAGTCGGACGTTTTACCCGTTCGGTTCTACTAACGAGGGAAGGTCACCAAATGTTCAATCGCTTTTGTGTTGAAACTATTTGCATTATGTAGTCCCCACAGAATTATGAATACGCTGAAAATATTTTGGGCGGATAGCTTATTGTAATGAAAATAGTCCATTTGTAAGGTATGAGTTTTATTGACTGTCTGGGATCCCTCTCAGGAACATTAAAAAAACTGATTTTTGAATTTCGACTTGCAACTTTACAAAGAAAGACGCTCCAAGGAGAACAACTTTTTGTGAACGTTTCAGATCTTTCTAGTGTTCCTGTCACTGGATACTGCTATTGTGAAATTTGTATTTTATGTCCTTCAAATAAAGTAACAGATTTAGTGAAACAAACAATCAAAAGACCTAAGACTTTCAGAAAGTATTATTCTCGTTGAGAAGTATATCTACGTAAAGTTTCAAGTCGAAATTCGAAAATCAATTTTTCTAATGTTCCTGAGGGGGACCACGGCAATCATAAAAAACATATCTTACAAATGGACTATTTTCGCAACAATAAGGTATCCGCCCAAAATATTTTCAGCGTATTCATAACTCTTTGGGAAGTACATAACGCAAATAGTTTCAACGCAAAAGCGATTGAACAGTTGGTGGCCTTCCCTTGTAAGTACTACAATACGTCTTACTCTTTTATTGTCAACAAGATTAGATAGTAATATACCAAGACAAGAATTCAAACTCAGAACACTAATAGAAAAGAAAGAAATATATATTCGAAGTACAAAAGTCGATAAAATATCGCATTTCTTGAAGAATTATTTATTGTCTGAGAGAAATATATCTTTATTGAAAACATTTTAGTTGACGTATTTTATAGATTACTATAATAAAAATGAAAAAAAAATTAAGTGTTTCATTTATCTCAGTACATAATAGAATGAATTAATATATTTTGTATCAGATAATCTTACTGAAATTAATTAGAACTTAATCAGATTTAGTATTAAAAGAAAAAACGTGTTTTCATTTATTTAAAAATAAAAACAATTATTTTTTTCGTTGATATTTATTTTGCTTTGTTATAAAATTATTAATTCAATTAATCAAATTCCCCATGATATTCAGAAATAAAATTAAAAAACTCTTTCCCTTTGATAACAAATGTCCATTTCAAAATAGAAGACGAATGATTGTGAGTCGAATAACTCGCAAACATGATGAGATATTGCGAAACGATTTTTGTCAACTTGTAGACAAGTCTAGGGTGCGTCGACGTATGGGAGAAGAAAATAAGATCAAGGGTGAATCTTTGGAAAATCACAATCACGCTAAGTCGCTGTTTCTAACTTATTCCGTTTGCAAGTTAGAGAAGTTATCCA